CAGGCTCAGCAACAAAATGGGTGAATGTAAATAGGCAGCCGACTTTAGAGCATTCTACAAACCGGATTAATGGGCGACAATATATGGCATCTTCAAATCGGATTAATGGTACACCTTTAGTCACTTCTTCCTCTATTCGAATTAGTGGTCCACCGGCGCAGAGTGCTATAGTCACCGGATGGCTTCAGGGTATTGAAGGAGAACACGATTCAGATCGATAAATGGTTAAATTTATAAACTGTTTTGGATAGTTTTGGTGAAAATTGAAATGAGCAATCGTAATATATAATTCAAGAAACATTCAGAGCAAAAAGATTAACAAGTCTCCTTAGATGCGAGGGGTCGTAATTAATAAAAATAAAATAATAAGTCTTCGCTATTGTTATAATAGTGAAGTTTTTAGACAAAACATTGTACGAAATAACAGTTCATTTATTATACGTACGTGCGTATAACGATTATGAGCGCCATCTCAAAGCGCACTTCACATATGTTATCGGGTTCATATTGTAGAAATTGGTTCTTACTTCGCGGTCTATGCGTGCGTACGTACGTCGTACGTGACAATTACATCACTTAGTGTTTTTGTGCGGTTTTAGATTATTGCAAATATCACGTGACCGAATTAAACGCAGGTTTAAAATTGGCCTTTACAAATTGTGTGTAAAAACTAAAAAAACTTTTTTGTATATACTGTAGAAGATTGTATATAAATCTACTGTATGAACTTGAAAACTGTATTTATTGAGTATAGTGGTGATAAAAAATAACAATTTAAAAGTTAAAATAATTTTAAGGTGCATAGATACGTACGTACGTACGTACGTATGTCTAATTTGGCGCAGGCAATAAAACGTGATTGATCAATAAGAATCATTTTGGTACCAATCATCGAGAGTCGGATGATACCAATTCTGTTATATAAAAATTGGTAAAAAAAATTTTTTTAATAGTGCTTTTTTTGGATCCTATCATTTTCCCGACAACCACTTTTCCGACAATGTCAAAATCCCGACAAGTTAGCCCACATTAGGCTAGCGTTAGTGTTAGTTCCGGTCAAATTTTGTTTGTCGGAAAAGTGTTGTCGGAAAAATAATAGAAACCCCTTTTTTTTCAATATAATTAAAATTAAAAAATTTTGATGTTATTTATCTTAATAGTATCAAAATTATATTATTTATTACCCTTTCAAGCAAGTTTTTTAAATGATAGAATAACAATCTTTATGTAGCGGAATTTTTTATAATACTGCTAATATATAATATTATATTTATATTTTATAATAGTGATTTTTTTTTAAGAATCTTTATTTTAATTTTACATTATTGTTATTCTTATTTATTTTGGCATTTAAAAGTTAAAAATTAAAATTGTCTATATACAAAAATTTTTAAATTTTAATAATTTATTTATAATTTTTTATATCAAATAATGTAGATCTTGGGCTATCTTTTGATATATTTTTTATTTTTATTTTTTTTTTAAAAGAGTAAAATTGTCTCACATAGCCAAGATATCAGAATAGACTAGTTTATTGTAAACTATTTATATATACATATAATTAATCTACAATCTAGCTTACTGGATATCATGATTCTTTAACAACAAAGTTGTCAAGTTCTGATAGATAAACCCACTTTTTTGTCTCAACAAAGAACCGGTAGTTATTAGCTAATAGACTTGGTATGAACCCTCTGTATCACTAACCAGTATACATTACCTAAAATCTAATCCTAGTCTATACTAATATGGGATCATTGTTAGGAAAATGACACTTCAAGATTATACCGATTTAGTGAATAAAAATTAAATATGTTGGCCATCTAGTCATCCAATTTGAATGATCTTTTTTTTATTTTGTAGAACTTATTAGCTTTACAAAATAAAAAAAATTTATTCAAATTAGATAACTAGATGGTTAGCAAATTTAATTTTTATTTACTAAATCGACATGGCCTCAGAGGGTTATTTTTTTAGCAAAAATTTTATATATGATCTAAGATTAAACAAAACAAAAAATGAATAATGTGCTACAGTCTACACAAAGGTATAAAAATTATATATCTGGTGATTTTTATGATATATTTCTAAAATTATTTGTTATAACAACTCTATTATCTCCAATTAACTACAAGTATCTGTTTTTAGAAAAAGATTATTCTGTACTATAGTCTTTTTAAACTTTCTGCATATCACAATATAGTTACAATCTTATTTTGAAAAAATAAGCAATAATGATCTTTTAGTTATAGTAAATCAATACCTCTAACAAAAATTTCATTAAGGTGTTAACGAAAATAAAAAAAAGAGAAAAACTAAGATTTTACGAGATATTAGTCATAAAGAGCAGTATTGGGTTATGACCTTAAATGACCAATATGATCTATATGACCTTTATGACTTTTTGGTCATAATAAAAATTGATATGACCTTATGACCTTTAAAGTAATAAAATAATAG